CCATTATATTTGCGACCATCATTGTCGTTGCCTAGTGACAATGGCATTGATGGTGACAATGTTAATGATGACGGTAATAACGACATTGTTGCCACAACTCCAATCATCATCGCCATTATTGTTGTTGTGACTTCCGAAATCATTACTAATATATTTAGATTTTTAACATTTAATTTATTAAAATATTAATTCTAGAAAAAATATAATTAATAATTAAATTTCTGAAATGCATTTATAAACGTAATGATATTTAAATAAGTTCATATTAAAACATGTAACTAGAACTATTTCAATTACACTTTCCAAAATATTTTCATAGATGGAGTCTTTATCAAAGAAATAAGCATAATTAAAGGAGTATGATAATTTAAAAGATATATAACCTTATATGCAAGAACCTAAGGTGAGACATATCTTTATACATATAAAGTTTTTTGCATACATTCATAACTATTTTTCAAAAGAAGTAGAAGATGCAGGCCCCTACAAAATGTAAGGTTAGACACTAATTACAACACTGGTATTAGCAATTAGAGTATAGAAAATTTCTCACCCAAATATACATCCAAAAAGGAAATAACCTATACTCAAAGCAATTTACCCAAAATAAGATGAAGATGGAAAACCTATGGAGACTAACCCTCCCCGCACAAACTATCATAATACTTTCGATCCTCTGAAGTCACATTGTTGAGATCAAAAGATCCCTCATTAGCATGTACTTTAACACCAGTATATCTTGTTGAAAAGTTTGTCGAGTACGTCTTCCATGAGCATCGTGATCAAAGATTTCTTGAAGAAACCTCAATGCATTTGCAGGTCTCTCCATGCCATAGTAAACATAATAGTATCGTACATGATGAATCCTCATACTAGGAGGTGTCCACCCAAAAGGCATCATGTAAGTCACCTTCACCTCTATAGTAATCTGAGTTTGGGGTTGCTCTCCAAAGATATTTACTACGAACTTATAATAACTAAAATGTACGTGATTTCTAACTACATGAGCTTCCTCATAGTTGTAACGAAACTCAACAAGATGAAGGGTCCCTTAAGGTGTTGTCATCTCCTAAAATATGGGTTGTAAGGATGAGTTTCCCCCAGTCTTCAAACTCTACAAACATAATAACAAGCATATAGTAATACATCTTAAAATAAACAAATACACTACCATTAAATAATCTATAATGGTTTTATCATCAATTTATTGTCAAGTATCATAAAAGTTTCACCAATACATTAATCTATTAGCTTGGGCCCAAACGATGCCATAAAAAACCCTTTGATCATAATGGTCTTACACCACATGTGGATAATTGCCGGTTGGTCAACGCTCTAGACAAATACAATGTTAGTGCAAACGACCCCTTAGCTAAAAGTACAGTTCACATCAACATTAGAAGTGGAATGTGAGGCTTGTGATTTCTAACACGTCAAAGGTGTACACCAAATGCCGATCAGATTCACCACTTTCCAACTTCCCAAAGTCAAAAGACTTATTTTCCTATACCCAGTGTATTTCTGTAATTATCCACACATCCACCTAATGTTTCCTTATACCATAACCCAAACTTTATTGTTTAATACATAACTCGCCATGTCATAATAATCATTAAAATAATATGAAATAAAACAATACAAAACATTTTTAGCATACTAGCATTCAAAAGAAACTAAAATACAAGAAAAGCCACACAAACAAATAGACAACATAATGGCTGTAAATTCATATAGGAGTAATTTCCTTTCGATTCATATTCTCCGAGCTCTAAAACAGATATGTGAAAATAGAAGTGTGAAAAGGGTTTGATCATAAAACTCCTCTTAAAAAAAACCTAACTTCCCTTTAACCCTCTAGTTAAAACAAATTAACCATAATCACAAATATCTTCCCTTTTTAATAAAATATTATCCTATCCTTTAATAAAAATATCATTATTATATTTTAAAATATATTACATAATTAAAAAAAATATTTAACAACCCTTGTTAATAAAATAAAAATATCAAAATTATTAATTAAACACTCATATTATATTTTATGAAAAATAAGGTGTTACAATGAACATGGATTTTGTTCTCAGCTCATAAGGATTAGTCTGACAAGGTCTTTTAAGTATTATATAAAAGAAATAAAATGAGAAATTCATATTCGTTGCTTTTATTAGAAGTGGCCACGAGATGGATTTTAAAATGAAAGTTTTCAAAGGTTATGTAAGGAGACCGAAATTATCCACAACCTCTTTACACCACGAACACTACAAAATGGTTTTGTTGAGAGAGAATAAATCATTGCAAGAAATAGATACAACGATGTTAAATTATAATTCAACCCCAAAACACTTATGGGTGGAAGCAATAATACTGCATGTTACTTGCAAAACAAAATATACATAAAACTTATTCTTAACAAGACTCCTTATGAACTATAGAAAGGACGCAAACCCAAAATGTTTCGCCCTTTTGGATGTCAATATTTCATACCAAACACTAAAAACAATAAGAGAAAGTTTGATTCCATGTGTGATGTTGGAACATTGTTGGGTTATTCATAAACGTGCAAAGCGTACAAAGTTTATAACTCTAAAACTTTAGTTGTAACATTCCAAGTTTTCTAAAAATAATTATGGATACTTTTTAATTAATAAAATATGTTTTATAAATAATATGGCAGCTTTTAAAATAATTGTGTTTTTTTAATTAAAGAAGGTTTTATGAAGTTATATGATATTATGTAATTTATTTGGAGAGATATGTGTTTTATGTTTGTTTTAATTATATTTGTTTTTTTAATTAAAATAAGGAAAGATTGATTTTAAAAAGGGGTTAGGGTTATAGATTCTTTTACGCTTCTCTCATTTGTCTTTTTTCTGGAACATGGAAGCCCTTGAGGAGAATGTAGAGGCCTTTAGAACACATGCTAGAGAGTCATATCCTAAATCTAGCATCTATCAAGGTAAAAGAGAGTGAGTAATTTTGCTTTGAGGTGTAAGATAATTGTTTAAGTAATAGAATTGTCTCCCAATCCCTTTATTGTGATTTTGTTGCTTTGTATAGTGACCTTGAGAGCCTCATATTTGGTATGCCCCTCTTTATTTGGTTTTTTGAAGAGGTAGTTGGTTGTCTATATTAAATTATTATTCTTGATGGCATATGAAAGCCCTTGAATGCATATTTGGCTTTGTGCATGTGATATTGTAAATCTATGAGATTCCATAGTTCTTGTAGGAAACCCTTAATTTATAGAGTATAATGAAGATAAATAAAGTCAAGAGAGTTTTATGAAATTGATGTATGTGTTTAATTAATTAAAGATATAAAAAGTCTAGTTTAGACGTTAATTATGTATAATAGATTGAATTAGGAGAATTTAGTTAGGTGCAACTTATGCTTTGTTATCAAAAAAATTATGATATAAACATATCTCAGTATTTATATAATTTTTCTCTATATGATTAACCAATTAGAGTTTCGTTTGTTGGGTTGGAAACTAAACATTTTGGACTACAATTTAAACTCAAAAATCATATAAAAATGTTCAAAAATAATCAAGTTATATAAGTTAAAAAATGAGTCTCACATCTTGTACACGAAAAGTAATGTCTTTACCTTGATATTCATAATTTTCTTTTTAAATATCGAATCCTCCTTTCATTATTTTTATTTTTATTAAAAAAATTTCTTTTTCTATTATGTAAAAATTAAGTAAGGAGGGATAAAATAATTCTCTTCATTATTTCTATTTTTATCAATTTTTTTCTTTTTCTTTTTTTAAAAAAACTGAAATCTTATCTTCTTTGTTTTTATTTTTATTGAAATTTTTTTTTCTTTTTAAAAAAATCTCAAATTCTTCCTTTTTTTGTTTATGCTTTTATTGAGATTTCTTCTTCTTTTTTTAAAAAAATCTCAAATCATCCCTTTTTTGTTTATATTTTTATCGAGATTTTTTTTAAAAAAAAAATTCAAATCCACGTATCGAATAGTATATCAAGATGGAGACGTGTTGATTTGCAGGTGCCTGCGATGGAGACACGTTAGTTTTATAGGTATCCACGATGGAGATACGTCAATTTTGTAGGTATCCATGATGGAAACATGTCCAATTTATATGGATATAGTCTGTCAAAGTATCTAAGGTATATCCACGGTATGTTTGTTCCTAAAGAGTGTCAGACTTGGGGACACGATAATCTTATGCCGTATTCGTGTAACATAATATATATATATATATATATCAAGAGAGTTTAACTTACCTGGTTAATTAGTGTACGTGAATTATTGTAATTCATTATTATTGAGTTTGATTCCTATATATTAAAAATAGTATTACATTTTTATCATATGTCTAGTTAATTATTAGACGAAATATTCAATAAGAGAATTATTTTTAATAATTAGAAAACTATGAAAATTAAATACGACGAATTAAAATTTAGGAAACTGACATTGATTATTAATAAAAGCGTGAGAACTAAAAATACAATTGACCCGATCTTCTTCTTACTTTTATTAGTAATACATGTTTAATTGCATTTATTTTAATGAAACATTTTTTTTTTTCAAGAGAACTTTCAATCATTATTAAATATTTTTACAAAAATAGTCTTTTTCGTAACACACAGTTAAACTTCATTTTTCATATTGTTTTATAATAACATTTATGAATTTATATTTCATAAAATCTTAAAACATCCATTTTTTATCGTATGAATTAAGTACAGAAATTAAAGAATATTAAATACATTCTTTTAAATATTTTCAACTATTCAAAATCTTAACTATTAAACGTATTGACACTTTTATATAATTATGTTTTTTTAACAATTTATTATTTTATTTTTAACTAATGTTCGTGTAAATTAAAAAAAAAATTGAAAAAACTAACAACAAAAGAAGTGGTGTGAAATGAATATTTTGTCTTGTGACTTGTGAATCAACAAATGGGTGGTGTAAATGAAGCCAATGTTTAGTGTATAATGTAACAAGCAAAAGAAACAGCAACGTTATAACTAAAAACGAAAGGGTGGTTGAAGCAGAGATAAGTGTCTGAGTGATATGCAAAACATGTCTCTCTGTGGTGCACCCTCCTCCACAACTTCACACCTCACATCCCTTCCTTCGCTTCCTTCACTCTCTCTCAGATTTTCCTTCACTTTCCGGGAAAACAGAAACCCAACTACACACCTTTCCTCTCACAAGCTCTCCTTTTCAGTGAGGCCTTCAAGAGTGTTGGTAAAGTCTCAGGCCACTGCACCTGCTTCTTCTGAGGCTGTGAAAGTGACACCTGTACCTTCTGACATGAAGGCATGGGTGTATGGAGAATATGGGGGTGTGGATGTCTTGAAGCTTGACTCCAATGTTGCTGTGCCTGATGTCAATGAGGATCAGGTCCTTGTCAAAGTTGTTGCTGCAGCTCTTAACCCTGTTGATGCCAAGAGAAGACAGGGAAAGTTCAAGGCCACTGATTCTCCTCTTCCGGTGCTTCACTTTCTTCATTTTCTATTCACTCTTATTTTGTGTGTGTCTATGTATGAGTGTGAGAATTGGAGTGGAATTCATGTTCTAGTGGGGAAATCGGTGACATAACATGAAATAAAATTATGATGGGTGGTAAATTTTCATTCCTATGTTACTAAGGAAATGGGGTAATTATTTTGAAGTAACTAAACTTTATATTATCATATCATCTTCTCACAAATTGTCATATATGATAGATTTGTTAACAAATTTTAATTAGTTTTAGTATTTAAGTTCATGTCGTAACACTTTCAATATGTGCAAAATTCACAATCATAGCATATTATATCAGTTTTTGCTTCATTTTGTGTGAAGTTCTTTGTTAATAATTTACAATGTTTATAGTTTTCGCTTTGTCTATTTAGTATGTTCTTTTGTCTGTTCGGTCTATTGCATAGTCTATTCAGTCTGATGTATAGTGTGCTCAGTTTATAGCTTAGTGTTTACTAGTTGTGTTCTGTTCAATCTTATACCCTGTTTTCACTTTTGTTTTTTGTAACATGGTATGCTTAATAATTACTATCTACCATCATAATTTCTGATTAGTCAACTGTTTAAAACTTTTTACACCAATTAAACTCACTAAATAACAGCATGGTTATTTTATTCTTACATTGCAGTTAAAATTGGTATTTTAATTCAATTGTTTCTTCTAATACATGAAAAGGGTATGAAGATGTTTGTTTAGCAATGGTGGAAAGCTTACAATAATTAAGTGGAAAGGGGAAAGCTTATTTCATAATTTTGTAGGAGTAACTAAGTGATTAAATCGAATTTGGTTTGCCTTGTCCATAGACTGTTCCGGGCTATGATGTTGCGGGTGTGGTGGTGAAGGTTGGTAGTCAAGTGAAGGAGTTTAAAGTGGGTGATGAAGTGTATGGAGATGTAAATGAGAAAGCTCTAGAAGGGCCTAAGCAGTTCGGGTCTTTGGCTGAGTACACAGCTGTTGAGGAGAAATTGTTGGCACCAAAACCAAAGACTTTGGACTTTGCTCAAGCTGCTTCTCTTCCTCTGGCAATTGAGACTGCTTATGAGGGTTTGGAGAGGACTGGATTTTCTCCTGGTAAATCTATTCTTGTTCTCAATGGTTCTGGAGGAGTAGGAAGCCTAGTGATTCAGGTATTTACTCTCCAAAACACTTCAAATAATATATCAATAACTGTTTTTAATGTTTCTCCTCTTTTATAGTTATCAAATGTCACATAAAGATGTTTGCCTCTCAAACAATGAATCTGTGACTAAATCCATTTCATGGTAATACAGCACTTTACATCTCATATAGTATTGCTGATCTTACTGCTAGTCGTTAGTGCTCAGTATGTAAGAAGTTTGAGAGTAGAGGCATTTCCCAGCAAAATTAAGCTTCTACTCAGCCCAAAATTTACTCTTAGAACTCGGTATTTGATAGAAGCTTTCTTTTGGCTATTCTTTTCTCTTCTCCCCAGTTAATCTACCACTAAAATCATACTCTTGCAAAATGTTTGAACTCTACTGTTAATTGTCCACAATTTTATACCAGAGATGTAGAGATTGTAAATTTGTTTTGAAGTCTATGTAAGAGTACCATTGCTCTAGTTGAAATTGTTTGAGTACTTAAACATATCATAAACTAATACAATTTCTTTTTTGGTTTAAAAATTATCTTGATACACTTTGTTACATGGCATATGGTACAAATGAAAAAGGAAAGCGTGATTTACTTTTCTGGTTAAAATTTTCAGCATGAGAAAAAGTATGAAAACTTTAAAATGCTACAGAAAATTCATACACTTCACAACTGATAAGTTATATTTTATGCATATCTTCAATGACTAACAGCTAGCTAAGCAAGTTTTTGGAGCTTCAAGAGTTGCTGCCACTTCAAGCACTAGACATTTGGACCTGTTGAAAAGTCTGGGAGCTGATTTGGCTATTGACTACACAAAAGAGAACATTGAGGATTTGCCAGAAAAATTTGATGTAGTTTATGATGCCATTGGTAAAATTCTATCCCCTTGTGTCATTATTGTTCTTCCAGCCTTCCATACTAGGTTCTCAAACAATTTGGCGAGAAGAGTTTGCGATAAATTCTTTGTTATCGTTGCATGCCTAAATTTATATGATAATTGTAGCAGCACTCATTTTAACAGTCTTTAATATTGGTTGAAAATCACAAATTTTTATGAGTCTTACCACCAAATCAGGAAAGACTCATTAAATGAGATGGGGAACCCACAACTTTGTAATTTTCAATAAATTTTTATCAATAATAATGTTAGTAGACAGGTGTTAAAGAGAGTGTCGCTAGCACTACTCAATTTCTATTTATTAGATAATTAATTTATACTTTATACAGCTATAATAGATCATGAAATATTGATACTAAAACATGCTAGGATAAGAAAACTGTTATTAGCATAGGTATGAAAAAGGAGTTTGTTAACTTGTGTTAGGTCCAGAGTAGGCTTAATAGTTACTCACAGCTCAAAGCCACATAGTGGTAGTCTGAACCGATTGCCCGATTGCTAAAGTACTCAGAAAACCGGAATTGGCCGGCCGAATGATGGCATGGTCAATCGAACTGTCCGAGTTCGATATACATTTCGAACCTCGGGGCACCATCAAATCACAATGCCTAGCCAATTTCTTGAATGAACTATCCCCACCAAGGCACTTTGAGGATGGCGCCTGGACCATGCGCATGGACGGATCCTCCAACTGCCAAGGCAGCGCCGGCATCATCCTCGAGAGCCCGTCCGGCATTACCTTGGAACAATCTTTGCGCTTCGGCTTCCGAGCATCCAACAATCAGGCCAAGTACGAAGCTTTGTTAGCGGGAATGAGATTGGCAGCCGAGATGGGTGTTAGAAAAATCATCTGCTGGACCGATTCAAAGGTTGTCACGGAACAAGTGAACGACAACTTCCAAGTCAAAGACCCCAACCTGCTCAAATATTACCATCTTTTCCGGGGAATGAGCAATCAATTCAAAGAGATACAAGTCAAGCACACACCGCGTGGGAATAATGAGAGAGCCGACCAGTTGGCACGGCTAGCAAGCAGTCGCAAGCTGGGATAGCTTCGGTCGACGATACACCTGGAGTTGCCCACCCCAAGTGTCATACAAGAATGCATGCCGGTAGACGAAGCTCCAAAATCATGGATGACTGACATTCTGAAATTCATTGGTAACAGCATGGAGCTGACCGATCTGATCGAGTCCAAGAAGCTGAGGACGCAAGCCGCCCGATATTCCATCGTGAGCGGGGAACTATACATAAGGGGATTTTCCACCCCCTTGTTAAGATGCCTTGACCAACAACAAGCCGATTACGTCATCCGGGAGATCCATGAAGGCATTTGCGGGTCCCACTCTGGAGGAAGGACACTCGCCACCAAGGTACTCAGAGCTGGCTACTATTGGCCGACCCTAAGATCCAATTGCACCGAATTTGTCAAAAAGTGTGTTCAATGCCAAAAACACGAAAATCTCATCCATGCCTCGGCCGCCGAATTACATAGTATCAGCTCCCCTTGGCCATTCGCTTTATGGGGCATAGACATACTCGGGCCATTTCCTATGGCAAAAGGGCAAGTCAAGTTATTAATAGTAGTCGTGGATTATTTCACCAAGTGGATAGAGGCCGAGCCGCTTGCCTCTATCAC